TGTTGAACGATTAAAGGATAACAAGGTCAGAGCGAAATACGTTCAAATGAAGTCCTTTATTGTCAAACGTTCAGTACAAAAATGCAAAAATACAAATAATGGATGCTCTACAAAATACAATTAAAAGTAAGCTAATCTCCCGGTTGATCGCTGAGTAAGAGGGTGGACTAACCCCACACCGCCTTCCTAAATGCATCGCTGCAATGGTGGGATCGCCGAGTAAGAGGGTGGACTGGCCTCACCACCTTCCTAAATACATCGCTGCAATGGTAGGCAAAGAGGTTGAGAAGCACTCTCAGCAAGCAATATGGCCCGCAAGCATCCCAAAAATTGCCTTCTATCATTAACTCCTTGTAAAGGGCAAAGAGACGATGGGAAGAACTTCGATGGTAAAAACTTTGCTGCTGGCCAATAAATATTTCCTATACCTCCCACACCAAAGGTGACATCAAGGCAAATAATAAAATGGACGGACTAAACAATCCATTTTTATAGAAAGGCGAAGGTTTTGGATCGGATTGATTGTCAGAGTGCCAAACAATGACAGAAAATTGGTTTCGAAGAAGAAAATAAAGATGAAGATGGAAGATGGAAAATGCGAAGCATCCATGCATTTATAGGGGGGTGGAGATGAAGAGACAGAATATGAACAGCCACATTTCTGCCTAATAAATTGAATTAAATAGCCCAAAGTCTTAGGTAAAGTGGTGGAAATATCAAAAGCAAATGGGCAAGATTTTTAGCACGAAGCAGTTAAATGTTTGAAGAATTGACAACTAAAAAAAATAAACGTCAAATAAATGTACAAGAAGTTAATGTTTATTAATGATGAACAAAGTTACAAAGGGAAAATCAAATTACAAAAGAAAAAGGCATCATATGTCTTAATTACAGTCCACCCCATACTGAACGAATTCGTTTCCTAAGTTTTTCCCAATCCTCGTTCTGCCGAGAGGAAGTGATGTTCAATTCGGCCACGACATCATCATCAACTTCCAACTTCTTGTATTGCTCAACCAAGGACTTAGTTCGTTCAATTCCCTGGGAGGCGTTGCGCTTTTTAGCAGCCATTCTCGCTCTGCAGTCATCCATTTTGGCTTGAAATTCCTTCATCTGAGCAGCCAAATTAACTATCAAAGAGTCTTCAACCATGACTTCGGAAGAGATTTCTTTCAACTCGTCCTCAGCCTTGTTGATCTCCATACGCAAAGACTCTTTCTCAGATACGGATCGAAGATATTGAGTACTTTTGGCCTTTAGTTCAGCATTCTTGGCCAGCAAAGAAAGGACCTCGGAGTGGATAACTTTCAACGTCGCTTTAAAATCAGCAGAAAGATTGAGCGACGGAAGCGTCAGTGCTTGCTCCAACTTCACATTCAAATGCTCAAGTTTATCCTTGTGTCTGGCAGCACTAGCCCTTCTAATGTTCATATCCATGAAGGACACGTACTCAAATATCGACTCCTTGAGGAACTTCAAATCTTTCTCTGAAGAAGCAGCAGGACGATCAGATGGAGTAGGGTGAGACGTCTGGACTTACCCCCAGGAAGCGAACAAGTCTTGGATAGAACGCACAATCTTGTCAGCATCCTGCAAAGAAAATTGCCAATATTAAAGATTCTCACTACAACGAACAAGATAGAAATAAAAGTGAAGCAAAGATTACCTCATCAACAATCGTGGAAGATGGCATGTCCTCAGCCAAGTCTGCCACCAACGACTCCTCCATTCGTGAGGACTTCCCCTTGTCTGAGCGAGAAGATGTTGCCATAACGGGTGGACTCATAGGAGTATCTGCAAAACTCAAGAACAACAAATCAGAAACCAATAGCACAAGCAAAGGTAAGACATCAAAAGACTGAATTACCTTCTGCTTCGATGTTTGAGGGGTTGACGCCCTGGGAAGAAGGTGGCTCATCCATGGATTGTGATGAGGACTCTGGGACTGAAGATGTCTTTTTAAGCGTAGCCCCCTCATCAACTGGTGTGGATGAAGCAGCCTCAGCGGAGGATGATGGAGCAGGAGCTGTCGATGCCAAAGCCTTTGAAGGAGAGGCTAAGCTTTTTTTAGAAGTCCAAAAGATCATCAGCACACAGAAAAGTTTCAAGTATGGAAAAGTATGCTTGTGAGTAAACCAATTTAATTACCTTCCTCCTGACGATAAGAGGGGCATCATCATCAACATCATCCTCCAGAATGGGAGATGCTGAGGCTGACCGTTTGTGGTTTGGGGCACTCTTGGCTGTAGTAGGCTTGGCAGGGAGAGAAGAAGATGGACGAGCAGACTGTTTAGCGTAACGAGGAGGAGAAGGACTCTGAATGGACAAAGGAGTGACCAAAACAGGAGGAGGGGAATAAATGCTCAGCTGGTCTAGTGAATGAAAGGCACGATTGGCATCAGTCGCAAATAATCTACGCTTCACTGACGGCCAGAGCTGTTCAAAAAGAGGATGAATGGCGTGACTAGAATTGAAAGGAGCTAATGAGAAATAGCTGGTTAAAAGAAGATTGCGAGCATTTATAGCCTCTGCCTCCGCCTTATTAATAGTATGAAAACGGTCAATTAAGTTCCTGGAATAGCGAGGAGAAACAGGCCAAGTTTGGCCGAAACCAAGCTGGCGAGCAAAAAATTGAGGAGCATAAATTTCTACCCCCGCCTTGGCATTGGTCCCAGTCAAAATATCATGAAATAGCTCCTTCCCGGTTAAAAACTGGATCCAAATGAGCAGGGAGGTGCTCGCGCTGTCTATAGTGGAGGGGGGATGTACATAGTTTGGAGTCAAAAAAGGAGGGAAAAGGAAAAAAGGAAGAGATTGAATCCAAAGAATAAAAGAATGAAAAAATGTCCCTTCTGGATATATTTACAGGAGCCAAGGGCTCCATGGTTAGCCCATAACAGCTAGTAGAGGAGCGAGAGATTGATGGAGCACCAAGCAATGAAAAATAGGATCTCAACCACAATTGAGTGAACCAGAGAGGTCCACTGCCAGTGGGAGATGCACCATTTTTCAATTGAGTTTGAAGAGAGGCCATGCCTCTATAAAGGGCAGCCAAAAAGAAAGAACATAAATTCAAAGGCCGACCACGCGCCAATTCGTGCGCTATAGGTAAATAACTCAGGGAGGGCTTTATGCTTGGCACACACAAAACATATTTACAAAGCCAAACTAGAAGAAAGGCCACTCGCTCAGTATGGGAAGGCTCAGCGTTCGAATGATTGTGAAGGGTTTGCAGGCTTGAATAAGATTCGGTGTAGTTTTTACCAAACTTTGGGGCGTCACCAGAAATCAAGATATCAGGAAAAATGGTATCGCCCAAAGGTGGTAGATTCACCAGGGCCCTAACATCCCTTAAAGTAATAGACATGGGGCCAAGAGGGAAAATAAAGGTATTACACTCGGAAGACCAAAAACTCAAAGCAATCGAAAAGAGTGCTGAATCAAAAGTAGGGGGGTGAATAGAGATTTCTAACAAATCAGAAATCTTAGCGCTATTAAAAAGTGCCTTAGTAAGGCCATGACCCACAAGACGAGCATGCCACCTACGGAAAGATACATCAGATTTAGGCCAAGTGCGAATACCTCTTTCGCGAAGTGGCCCCAGCGGCAGAGAGTTTAGAAGTGGAGGGCCTTGAGACAAGGAAACAGCTGACCCACCGCTGCCTGTTCAACTGGCTCTGCATTGTTGAAGAAAGGACCTAAGTAAAACTCATTGCGTTCAACATCGACGGGCGTGAGAAAACTCGGAGTTATGTATGGACGACTCAGAAGTTTTTGACAGTCATCAAAACTAAAGGAGTCGCCAGCTTGAGATTGTGAAGTAGCCATTTGAGATGGAACAAATTTTTTCAGGGTTACGTAGCAGGGAAGCAAAAGATGAACAGTAAATCGTGGAAGAGACGCTAAAAATTTGAGGCGTGATTTAGTGGTGCAGTGAAATGACGTGTTTGGGGGTTATAAAGGTTTGCAAAACGACGCACATTTTCAAGTTATAGAAGAAAACAATGATTGAAATTCTTGGAAATCTCGAATGTTGCTGGAAACACAAAGTGAATATGGCAAAATTTAATAATTATTATTAATTCTGCCATATTGGGGGGTAATTGTTTACACATAAAAATTCAGCCAAAATCGAACGGCCCAAGGAATGAAGCCCAATTGGAGAGTCCCCAAATCAGATAGCCCAAAGAACGAAGCCTAATCAAACAATTCAAGATGAAGGCCCAAATAGGGAGGCCCAAGAACGTGGTAACGCCATCGCCCAAGATTGCAAGTCGCCCAGAATCTGAGCGAATGGAGTGTCATGCAGTCGCCCAGAGCTATTACTCTATTCTCGCCAAAACCTTCAAGTCGCCCAAAGTCTAAACAAATATAAAGCGTTGTGGTTATCAAGAAATACAGTTATCAAAGCAGTTATCAAAGTAGCCCCATCACGTTCTACGATTCAAGAAATTCAATCGAAAATGGTTGAACGACGAAGAGTAATGACAGCAGTTAAATAAGACAGTTTTCATGACAAGCTGGCCATTATGAGGAAAGTGGGCAGTTGCAGAATGATCAAGCAGTTTTTAGGCGGTTGATTACAAAGAGATCGTCCATGAAGTATAAAAAGGAGAAAAGATATAGAACAAATGATCGAATCAAAAACTCTCGAACAGAGAACATGTAATTTTAATTTCCTTAGTTTAAGATTTAAACACTTTTTTCAGTAACTCGTGTGCTTGCGCCCCTTGGAGGCACTTTGTTTTTAATTTTCAATTGTAAAGTCATTGCCAATAAAAGAACACCCCTTTTTGGGACTTTATCTCAAGAGGTTTGTCCCTTACACAATCGTATAATCCTTTTTAATTGTTAGCGACTAACCTGCGCGAAACACGTGTTTTACACAATGTAGCCGAACTTGTTTTACAGTATTTGCTTTTAAAAGTATTTTTACTGTTTTCTAAAGTTCATCTAAAATATCTTTTACTGTAGCTTCTTTTTTATGAACAAAAGTTTAACAAAGGCTAATCATTGTCGATATTTTTTGCTTAAAATCTAACTTTGTCTGCATTTTCTTGTTCTACGGAGAGAAAACTTCGACGCAATTTTCACAGAACCATCATGTTAATTATGAGTGACAGCTTCATCTTGCTTTTCTTCATTTTCATTTTGTTATTTTTCTATATATGTCGTATAGTTTTTTCATATTTACCGTTGGCTGATAGTTTCTTTTTATTTTTTCAGTTCCACTTTTGTTTATGCATGAAAAGGATCCAAAACATTGTCATCGATCGGGCAACTCAGGTATGTCGATTTTATAGTTATTCCTTTTAGATTTATAGTTTTTGCAGTTTAGGTTTGTTTATTTCTTTTAAATCACTCTTTCTGGTACTGTGATTTCTTATGATTTGAGCTTCAAGTCTGCTTTTTAGTTTAGATTTTTAAATAATTTCTGGAGTTGTCGATTCATCATCATTTCAGTTTCATATCTGTGTATTTTGAACTATTTTTTTTCCCTTTGTTTCTGTTTGTACAATTTTCTATTCTTGGTGGATTCGAGAGTCATCGTAGTATACTTTGTACTTTAGTTGTGAAATTCTTTAAGAAGTAGAAAAATCAAACATAGATAAAACATTTGTGACTTGAGGTATGTTGATTTCATATTATAATTACTGTAAATTACTTTGTTATGTTGGTTCGACTTTCATTTCTCTTTGTTCAGATTAGATTTGTTTTTGTCTTATATATAATTTCTTAAGCTGATGTTTGTTGACCGGTTGAGCTTCAAATGTTGCTTTTTTAAGTAATTTTCGTCCCCTTGTTTCAGTGTGCAGAATTTTTTATTTTTAGTTTGTTGATTTCATGCTTGTAGTATTTTTGAGTTCATCTTTTCTGAAAGTATAATTGTCAAAAAGGCACCAATATTCTTTGTAAATTTTAGAATCTCTATTTACAAGAACAATCTGTGATTATATAAGGATGTGACATAGGTTACGATACAAATTTGTACAATATCATAAGCGTTATTAATAGAATATATAGAAGTCACTCTCAGTCCTCTTAAAAGAGAGAATGTGAGATTAACTATTTATTTATTTTTTTCACATTGAATTGGTTTGGAATCGGGCTTTATACACGGAGAGCTGCACCAACTCTGTAAATGTTCCCTTCTTCGCCTATGGGATTCCATCACACCCCAATACTACACTTTCATTTTTTTACCATTTCAATTTATTGTAAATTTTGCAAGTCGTTTGGAGTTTTTATTTTCTTCTTAGTTTTCTAAAATTTATAAAATTATGAACTTTATATCATATTAATAAAATGAAAAGGATATAGAAAGAACTTGGTTTCACTATATGAACCACCAATTATGGAATTAGCTAACCATATTGGGTTATTCCATATTCTGTTTAGTAGAGGTTTAGATCGTGGTCAAGACTGAATGATATGTTAGTCATAGTCAAGACAATATAGCTACAGTTTCATTCTGGTTATGTATTGTAGCTACTATTCTTAGACAGATGCCAGGGAATGATGATTTTCTAGCTGTTAACTTAGGTGTAAGGTGGATAGTATTAACTAGTTTTACCAAGTTTCTAAGTATGTCTGGGCTTGAGTTCAAAAAAGGAAGGTAGATATAGGCAGTAAAGATTCTGCCATAGATCGAACTTCAAATGGTGGAGGACCATTAGTCGGATATTTGAATGTTAGTTACCATCCTTCATAAGGATCAATATAAGTGCTGACCATTGCAAATTGACAAAGAAGGTTTGAATCAATTGACGGATGGTAGAGGATACTTTCACCTACACTCTATAGAACTAAACTAATGAGAAAGGGAAAAAGGAGGAAAGTCAAGAAAAACCTTAGGTTTATTTTGTGGATCAATTCGACGCCCAAATTATGTCTGCAAGGGAGAGAGAGCCTTGACAATTATTCAGTCTTTTTCTCCCTTGTTGGGAAATGGACAAGGGAGAGTTAGTTATTAGCCTAAACTTTGTTCTGTAATTATAAGCATTACATGCATGACCTCTTACTCAATGCTGACATGTAATTTATTCTCGTTTGCATATTTGAAAAAAATATTATTTTTTGGATATTATTTTGTTAAATGGATTGTCGTTGTTGTACCATTTCTTTTTCAAGTCATCCAAATGGAGTTCTGGTGTAGGTATGCTGCTCCTAATAAATGATTTTCTTGCTTTTGTATTTGCAATAACTTTATTTGCCTTATTAAAACTCTGCTGCAAAATGTTAGTTTTAATTTTTCTTTTCAAGGGGTTTAAGGCATGATCCTTCTACATGAAGAAAGATTCTTTGTAAATTGAATTGGTTGTCATAAGAATATCTCACTCTTTTGATAACAATATGTACTCATCTCCCTGAATAACACTTATTTGTTAAATTTCATTTCGGATGTGATTTTACTTGGAAGCTTTTAGATTTGAGTTGGGGATTTTCCAGCAGTAAGTGGTTCTGCATAATGAACGTAGTTTGAGAATTGATAATCATTCTCATATCAACAATGAGGATCCATCCACGTGCATAACTTTTTGTTTCTTTATTGAACTTGTTATGTTATGATTAAGAAAGTAAATTTGTTTCTTAGTTGATCTTACTTGACATATCAACTATGATCAGCACCGACACTGTTATGAAATCATGCTTGCTGGTACAATTTTTTTTTGCTAATAGTCATCGGCATTTGTTTGTTTGTTTGTGAATCCTAGATTTATTGTTGTGCCTGAAATTATCGATTGCCTTTTCATTTCAATTGATGAAATTAGATGTCCTTATGGGGGAGATGAAGTCAATTCTTTATGGTGTTGATGAATCCGAACTTGATCCAGAAGCTTACTTGCAACTAACTAAAGAGTTCTTTAAAGACAATACACTGCAGGTTCTTATTTTCTTTATCCCAAAATTATACTTTGAGGCGAGCAACAACTATACCAATAGATTTTGTGGGTTAAACATGACTTATACCTAATATTTGGAATCAACTTATGATGTAAATTGAACTTGGTTCTTGCTACTAATCACGAATATATTTTTTTCTTTTAGACTGGTAATGATGCCACTAAAGTCATTGCAAATTTGTAAAGGTAGCGAACGGTAAATTGCTTTTGATTTTTTGGAAGTCAATCTAGATCTTTTGGATAAGTTGATACTGAGGTGAGCTATTGTTGTTTATGTTTGCAAAAATTTTGAAGAGTAATTTATTGTGTTACTAATTAAGTTGCTGCTATATTAGTTGTTGCTATAAATGAGAGAGAGCCATAGCTAAAGTTAACAAGTTGGGTGCTGGTTTATGATATAATTGGCGAGTCACAAGTAACTGCATAATATTTCTTATTCACTAACACATCGATTCTCAGATAAAATAATCTTGTGAAAATGTTTATTTTTGAGTGTTGATTTATAGATATTATGCATTCCTATGTTTGTTTTCTTATGTATGTGTATACATATAGTGCCCTTGCGTATCTTTAGTTCTCATTTCATTTTTCTATAGGTATGAGGATCTAGATATTTTTTGCATTATGGAGTAATTCTAACAAAGTTTATACGTCATCAAATTTTTGCAAGGTACATTCATTAAAAAATGATGAGAAATTCTTATTCATACCTTAGAATCCTAATTTTACTCTAAATGTGTTATGGAATATTTTTCTTGTTTTTTCTTGATAATGATGTCCAATTTAAATACTCACTACAGGTCGAGAAGTTGAAAGCTTTTCTGGGAGTAGAGGTTAAATCTTTTGTTTGGCAATTGTGTTTATTATATTAAACAAGTAGTCACAAGTACCATTGCAACAGCAGCCGCTGCTATATCACGGAAGGGAGATGAAGAATGCTGAGAAATCGGGTGCTCTTGGTGTTACAAATGGAGATGTGGTGATGATGATCTTAAATGCTTCAACTTCTCGTGCTAGGTTTGTGTAGCCGGAATAATTTACTGCCACGCATATAATATTTGTACTTCTATTAAACAAGATCGTGGATTTTGCAAAAATAAAAATAAAATAAATAAATAAATCATAGAATCATAAGTCCAAATAGGGTTAATTGAGCACCTTTCAACGTGGCATAATTGAACGAATATTGAGCCATCGACTGCTGGTAGTATATCTCAGCAAGCAAGACCATCGGGAACATCTTTGTCAACTTCTTCAACAAATATTAATCCGCATACACCGAATTCAGGTCTAATTTCAGCTTCTCTGATAGTTAATGCTTCTTAAGTTAGCAAATTTAACTATTGGTACATAATGTTTTGCACTCTATATATGCTTCCTACCTGAAGTCTACTTTAATTAATTTTGTAGGATTGTCCAGTAAAACTACTGGCACATTCGAAATACCACTTTCGAATTCAACCTCCTCGCGTTTGGATAAATAAACTATTCGATTTTTGTGCTAAGTTCACACAAATACTACACTAGCCAGATATGAGAACAAAAACTTCTATGACCTAGGGTGAACAACATAGGGAACTTTGGCTTCTTCAGCATTCCCAAATATCAAGTGCACACTGTTTCAATATTAAGGAAAAATACAACAATGACCCAAAAAACGGAATGTTATCAAGTGCTTTTAGACTTTAGTTAACATTTCATACACAAATTTTACGTCGTGTTGTTAAAATTTACCAATTCAGCAGGTCCTATTATAGATATGTATATGTATAGCGTTATTTAGCAGATTCAATTCTGCCTAAGGAAGCACTGATCGTGGGAAAAACCTCTGTTGCAGAGTGCGGAGTACTATATGATAACATCTTTGGTACGACAAATTGGATGGAACCACGTTATTAAAGTAGGATAAGAAGTTAGATTTTTTTTAACTTCTTGCACATAAAGATGAGTAAATACTTGATTCTGACTTTACATTTGAGAATAATTTTCAGTTTATGGTCGTGGTGTTCTAGATTTTTGGCCAGATATGCATCATGGCAATTGAGACAAAATCATCTGTTAATGATCAACCATGACTTATCTATTGGGTTCTCTACTCTATGATTACAATTTTCCCTCATAGACAAATACGTGCACGCCCACACGATAACTACTTACTATTGTATGATCTAATATAAACTACTGGTGATGCATATGGATATACCCTAAACTGTTTTAAATCGAATTTAGGTTTCTAGCAAAGATGACAAGGAATCGAATGCCAATGTAGTTTTCATTTCTTTTCCTTTCATCTTTTAGATAATGAAGATGATTTTAAGTTTTTACTCACTTTTCATGAAATTTGTATGTGATTGCTATTTGTAGATGTTTGCGAGTGTCATCTTTGGGAACCTCACGCTTCTTTGTATTGTTTTTCTTGGAGCAAGAAAGTTTTTTAATTCATAATCTGGATTATATAAGTAAATATTTCTTGGCTGTACTTAAATACTGGAATATATATTACACAAATGCTCTTTTCTCTCTTTTTTGTTTTCCCTTTGTGTTATCCTTAAGAAAGAAATAGATATCGCAGGATATGAATCAATAGTGGTTTACTGAATTTATTATTCCAAGTTGTTAGTGCAAGTTATTTGCAATAATTAGTAACTTATTTGCTTTGGTTTATGTTTCTTTTGCACTTCGAATATGCTTTAGATGTAGGATTTGATTTTTGTAGTACAAGATCTCTTTGTTTTAATCTATTTTCATGGAAAATACTACAACTTTTATGGTGCATATTTTACTAAATTAAAATTGTATTTTTTTCATGCATGCAACGTGATGTCTACATATTTATTGCAATTCATTAACATGGTAATATATATTTTGACTCTTAATGCCATATGTCAATTATTATGTCCATTGTACACTTGTTTATCACCCTTGTTGATTTCTTGCTCAACTAAACTTTGACATTCATATTGAGATATTTATTGTGTGCTATTAATTGTATAAGAGATCACGATTAAATTTTGTGAAGTAATCATGTCAATTCTCTCGAATTGTATGATCATTATATAATGTTTAAAGAACTTCTGCTAAACTAATTGCAGCCTTGATGATAAGCACATTAGTAATAAGTAGACAAATAAGTTAGGGTGAGAATTTTTCTACCAGGTACATCCTCGTAGTCCCCTCCAACGGAATCTCTTGGTTCTTTGGTCTGTTGATTGAGATATTGTTAATTGCTTTAGGTTTTCAATATAGCTATTGTTGAGGTCATATGAAGATTATTGTATTTTTACTGTGTGAGTTGATGAAACCTTTATGTTAATTGTTTATTTAGCTTTTCATTATTATTATGGTGATCTTGGATAGAACTTAATGATTTAACGATGTTAGGCAGTTTGTTTTTAACTTGGATAGTCACAATTCTCAATCGTTAATAACACTGTTGGTTGCTTTGTGTAATGAATTTTGATGTTATATAGAACATAGTTATTTACGATGGCTAAAATGATACATGAAAAGCTTCAGAATATCTTCTGTTTTAAACGTATGGCTGTGAAATGTGCTTTTGTTCTTGACTCTGTCTAAAGTCAATAAAATAGTTCAGTAGACATTCTGATTGCTTAAATTATAGAACTATTATAGAAACATATTTCTGACTTGCATTCCATACATGGATATGACTTTTTGTTTATTTATTTACGTAGATTGGTCAAAGTCATTCTGCTGGATTAACGCCAAATCTTTTAAAACTATTTTAGCCCGGCCCTCTGAGAATATAAACCGTTGCCAAAAAAAAAAGAGGGAAATGCCCTCATATACAAGTCTGTTACTGCTTTAAGATTGCTCAAAGTTTCGCCAACTTGGAATATGTGAACTTAATGTATATTTACATGATTTATAAAGACATGCTTCCATGTTGAAGGTTTTCCTTTTGAGCTATTGTCTTTACATATACATGAAAAGAGTATTTGTGTTTTAGGTGTTAGAAAAACACGATTTTTCTAAATTAATATTGGCAACATATTAATACAATTATATTAGCTATTTAATATAATGGGCAAAAATCAAGTGGTCTATTTTTTGTATGCCCATAGACTACTCAAATTAATATGGACTAAGTGAGTAGATACCGGCTAATATTACTCTAATTAAGGGATAATGAGAACCTTAATTAAGTAGTATATAAAGGTTATTTTGGTTATGGTCCTCAATATACCAAATCACACACTCTTTTCCCTTCTCCCCATCAAGAAGAGAAATCACGGTCCCATTGAGGAATAAGGAGATTTGGTTGAGGAAGATCACAAAACCACCCTCTTCATTTGCATTCATCGGTACGTAGTCGATTGTCGCAGTAATTCCGCAACAGTAGGCAATTGTTTACAATGGATACAGGTATATTATCAGAATCTGTGAACCCTAGTAATTTAGCATGATGTTGATCCTAGGATTTAATTTATATTTGGATCTAATTTGATTTTCTAACAAG